CCCTGCCTGTAGCTTGCTTCCTCTCTCTCTCTCTCTCTCTCTCTCTCTCTCTCTCTCTCTCTCTCTCTCTCTCTCTCTCTCTCTCTCTCTCTCTCTATCTCTCTCTCTCTCTCTTTCTGTCTATGTCTATGTCTATGTCTCTGCATATGGAGGTCAGAAGTCAACCTCACGTATCATTCCTCAGATGTTGGTCACATTTCAGTTTTGAGACAGGGTCTCTCACTGAACTGGAAATTGTCACATGGTCTAGGGATCCACATGTCTCTGCCTTCCTAGGGCTGGGATCACCAGTCTGCCACCGTACCCAGCTTTCTAACATGGATTTGGGGCATTAAATTCAAGGCAAACACTTTTCTGATTGAATTATCTCCAGTTTTCATTTTCTAATTAATGTCTTTTGATGGGCAGAGATTCGAAATTTTTATCAAATCCAGTTTACTAATTTTTTTTTGATGCTTCACTAATTACATTGTTACTACAACTGCTTTTGACTTGTGTGAGAAATGTTTCTTTACTCTTGTTGTGTGATACTGTTCCTGGGAGACATGAGCAAGCATCTACTCACCCCAGATAAGGACTAAAGACAGCTCCCAGTAAGGATACTACCGAAGTCCACCTTGGTGAAGCGGGTTTTATTGAGGTTGCTTGCAGGAATTTGGGGGAGGGGTTACGCACAGGAGCGGAAGTGACTCAAAGACAGCTGTATCACCAAAGCTCACCTAAGCGTGAGTGACAGCTCATGAAAGTTGGAACTCTGGAACACAATGCGCAGCCTGCAGGCAGCTCAATAGGCTGGGGAGTGCCCTTTTCAGCATCTCAAGGGGGTCTGAGCCTCTGTGGATATCGGGCTGGTCTGTTTCTCCCAGGTGACTTGGCTGGTCTGAGCTTCACCTAAGGAGCCTAGCTTATCTGAGAGTCTAATGACGGTCCTTATAGCTTATGTATGTGTGGGAAAGGAGGGACCTAGTGTGCCTGGTCAGTTTCAGGGACTTCCTGAAGCCATTCAGTTGCTTACTTCCTGAATCTTAATGAGATTCTCTCCAAGATGGATGGTACTCAGAGGTAATTGCTACTCAGCACTCTAGGGTAGAAAGGTATTTCCCCTGGGTTTTTCTTGTGAATAATTGCAGTCATAACATTTACATTTGTGCTTTCAATTTTCAGTTCATTTTAATGTGTGGCGTGAGGTAACAGTTGAGAATTATTTTTCCCCCCATGTTCAGCTACTCCAACTCTATTAATTGGAGGAATTTTTCTTTCCACTGACTAGTATTGACTAATCATGTGTATGTGGATCTATTTGGACTCTTCATCCTATTCTGTTTATTTTACTGGCCTTTACAAAGACACTGCACTGAAATCAGGTCAATCATCCAGTCATTTTCATTCTTTCTCTAGTTTGTACATATGTTTACTAGGCTTTCTCCATTACTACATACGGTTTAGAATTGATGTGTCAGTTCATACCAGAGCCGTTGGGACCTTTACTGAGATTCTGTTGAATCCACAAAACCATTTGAGGAGGATTCCATTTGAATAATATTGGATCTTCCAATCCATGGATGTATTTATAGATAGATTTTCTTCAATTTTGCTTACATATAAGCTTCCAAGTTTTTAATGCAGATGTCTCACAGTTTTTGTTAAATTTATTCCTGTTTCCACATTTTGATCATATTGTGAGTTTTTTTAAAAAGAATTTTATTATTTTTTATTTTTATTTATGTGTATGCATGTGTCTTTGTGAGTGAATGTCATATGGTGCAGGTGCCCCAGGAAAGGATCCTGGGCACTTTGCAGCTTATTTGATATTCCAGGATTCTACTTAAGCCCAATTTTATAATTTAGAGAGAATTTGCATATCTCTTCCTTACGTTGACAATAGTTTTGTGAGGACATTATGTCAGCATCCCTCTTTTCATATTAATGAACCAGTCTTCAGGAGAGTTAAGAGCCTTGTGCTGGGTCCCACAGCTACCTGGGAACTGGCAGGATCCGATCCTGTGTCTTTTGATACAGGTAACTATCACAGCTTCTCAGATCCAGAGAGTCTCAGCTGAAACCATTGAAAACATTGCCTAGCTCTCCTGTGAGGTAGCTGACAGAGACTGTTTGTCCTCTTTTCTTGTGGAAATGGCCCCCGTCGCTCTTGATTTCACTTCATCCACTTTCCCAAGAAAACCTCCGTTCAGTCAGAAGCCAGAGGCCTTGCCTAGAGATTCACAAAGGGCCTGTTCTGATACGTGAACGACCGTTTAAAAGGATTATTCATGCTTGCTGGTTGGGATTCAGAATTCTGTGGGGCTCTGACGTGCTGATTTGTTTTGGGTATTTGATCTGCTGGGTAGCTCCCTTGTGGATTCTCATGATGGACACTTTATAAGCCTCTTTCTTCCTGGTGAACAAATACAGCTTCCAAAGTCCGTCTTCTTTTGGTTTCCCAAATTACTTATTATTATTATTTTAAGTGAACGGAACCATAGGATTGTATCCGTAACTGCCAGGGTAACAGTTGAATGCTTGAGATATATCCAAAGGCCCACTGACTCCTGGTATTTCAGAATGGGTGGGCACCTTTGAAACTCATGAACTATTCAAACTTTCATTATTCACAGAATAAAACTGGTGTTTCCCAAAAAGAGACTTTCATTGTCTTTAATTTCTGTTCTTACAGTGTCACTAAAACAGATTGCATTTACCCCTGCATAATAATATTTCAGCTTTGAAAATGGCATTCTTTGGGGACTCTGTCATCTGAATGTGTCTGATTTGTGGCACAGTCGTTGATGAAAACACTCTGGTACAGATGATTGGAGAAGCAATGCAGATTCAAAGTATATTTGTGGCCCAAGGTCCATCTCCACCCACATGGAGGTATTAAATA